TCTTTTCTCTCTCACCTTGATCAAAGCTTTTGGAGCTCTGCCTTGGTGTGCAACATGCTGCCTTCTAACAGAATTGTTGTTTGCTGCTGATGCAGGCCTTTTCCTAGCTGTCAAACGCTGCTGTTGGGCAAGAATATTGAGGGGACAAATCTTGTCTCTAAACTGAATACGAAAAACTTGAGTTTTACATGTCTTGTTTTATGATGCTGTGCAATGGTATGGCACACCATTGTGTATTATAGCTTCTTGTCTGCACAAGCAGTACGTTTGGAGTTCTCAAATTTCCTTTGGGCCTTAATGGGATGGAGAAGCGTACTGCTTTATCAATTTTCAACTTGCAAGGAAAGACATAACAGGGAGCACTGAGGGAGAAAGTAAAGTAATTTTAAATGCAAAATGAAGTTATGGCGTACAGGCGTTACCGATTAAATAGTAGAAGATATTTCTCTGTTAGTGAGCCATTGTTTGAATATATTTTGCACTTGGATGGGACAAGGTCACTTGGTCAACAAGGAAAGGATTTTGAATGGGAGTCCGTCAAATACCAGTTATCTTTTAGTTTGTTTATCTTTTAGGTAACGGAATTAATAATGATGTAACTCTTATTGCTAAAATTAGTAGTTGGGGCTTTTTGTTTGTTTGTTTTTTTTGTTTTAAGTTTTGGTTTCAGCTTTATAACATGTAGGTACCTAGTTTATAATAAGGTAAGTTGAACTTACTTGGTTCTTGCTACCAGGTAGTTGCTTGGAACAATTCTGTCAGGTTTCAGGGTTCATGTCAATGCTTTCATTTGTTTGTTGTTTGGCTAAAATGGGTAGATTACTTCAGCACCAGAGAGGCAAATAAACAATCTAAAGACTGCAAAAAATAGGTAGCTATATGTTAGTGGAAAGTACAGAAAATATTGATGGAATGCATGTATCAGATTTATTGTTGTAAAATTGTAGAGCCTTTCTTAAAGCTAAGCTCATTATGAGATACTTATTGAAGAAAAATTATCGTAACACTGACAACTTACTAGAAAAGGGTTCTTTTTTTTTTAAGAAGCAGTTTTTTATATAATTATGTCTGCCCTGGTTATTTTGCATGGTTAAAAAAATAGAAGCAAAAAAGAAACATTTACTTGTTTTTCCATTGTATGTTTCAACTGAATGGTCTCTTCTACTGCCTGTGTTACATTCTTCTACAGGTCATTTTTAATTATGCCAGCATAAATTTATGTCATCTTAAAATATAGATGTGCAGGTTTAAAAAGCTGCAAACATGCTAAGGTCATTAAAATTGGGATTGAATGAAAACATCGGATTTTTTAAACTCCTAAAATAGAAGCAGTTAACCACAGGTTAAAGGACTTGTTCAGCTATATTGTGTTTATTATAGTTTAAATAACCCAAAATGCAAAAGTATGAAGTGTTCCTCCCCCTGCTCTTCTCTTCCCCAGGAGAAAGGTGACAAAATGGGAATCTGTCTCAAGCTTTCAGGATTTTTTATCAGTGCCTTAATTGTCAGGCTGAATAGGACAGAAAGGAGGAGAGTTTGATTTTTCTTGTTTATAAGAAAATCATCTTTAAGAAACAGGTGTTTCTTTTATTAAAACCAGAAAAAATGTGAAGGTTCACATTTGTGTAGTCCATAAGGATCAATGATTTTCCCACAGTTGTCAAACTTAATTGCATGACAAAATTGAGAACTCTGTTCCAAGCACATAAAGCTTTTCATTAGTCACTATAGTGACTTATTTTATTTCCAGACCCAGTCTAAGCAACATGGGTGATAATTTAAGACTGAATTTTGGAAGCAAGTGGTGGTGTTTCTTTGAGCTTAGAGGAATGTTACTGTTGAGTTGCAAGGCAGTTATCTCACGACCGTTAAGGGTTTCCTAACTTGAGCTGAGTGTTTGGGTTGAGGAAGAAAGAGTTAGCATCCAGAGCATAATAGCCAGCAGGACTGTATTGGATGCATGTGAGGGATACAGATGACTTGGATTGTGTAACGGTGAGGCGTTATTCCATGCAATGTAAGACTCCGCTTCTGGTCAGTCCCACAAAATGGGTAGGATTGTGCTTTTTCCTTTTGGGCTTCTACCTCCTGAGCTGTTCATTTTCCAGCTCGTCAGCATTGACAGTTCTTGTATTTTAACACTCTTTGGCTTAACCCTTGTTAAGTGCGTTTATTAACACAAGACAGTAGAAGGGCAACTTTGTTGTCTTCTACATGGTCCAGTCTAGACCTAACCACATACAGATGGATTTTTTCCAGCACTGCTTTGCAGTTTCCTGTTTAGCATATGGACTTTGAGAAAATACCGCAGGACCTTGCAGTTCCCTGTGTGTCAGGTTGTCTGCCATTACCACTGTGTCAAGGCTGTGGCTCCAGCTTCCTTGGTTCTTCAGTTGCTTCTGAATGAAACAGCTCCTCGCTTCTCCCTCTGGCTCTTCATACCCTTCACTCCATACTTTCTTTTAGGCCAGGACTTCTTTTCAAATAAGTTATTTCTGAGCAAGTATACTTTTCCTTATGTGTGAAACCACTTCCCTAGAGCAGTTGTGTACTGCTGGTTACTATATCCAAGCACGTACAGCACAACAGTTGTGTAGGGTGATAACTAGGTTAAAAAGGAAAATTAAAAAAAGAAATTCCACATAACAGTTTTCCAGGATGCCTTAAACATCTGTGGAAAGTCTCTCACATGAAACACACATCAATTTTCTTGAACTTCTTTTGAAAACTCTTTTGAAAAGTAAGATTGATACCCAGTATCCTGCTAGAATTAGATAATCTGAAGATCCAAGATGGATAGGTTTCCTTTGAGGTCTAGTTAGCATACACAAGAGTGCGTGTGTGTGTGTGTAAGTGCATGTGTCCTTGTGTGGGTACAAAAAAAATACACTTTTTAAACAAAGGGAAGGTATTATAAAAATGTGTACATCTAATTGTCATGGCAGGAGGAAAAAATACTTCCAGAATCTTAATCAAAACCTTTCTTCTTCTATTTTAGGATTTCATTAAATATTCTTCTTATGTTATACCTAAATATTAGTATTTTGTGATCACCAGAGTGCATGTTGTTCCGATTGTAGCGAACTTCTCCATTTCGGAGATCTGAACACTGCCTTTTTTCTTCGTGTATGAAATCAGCTCAAAACTTAATTGTCTGATGCTATGTTTGTTTTTAATAAATTCTTACAAGTGCCTGAAATGGTTGCTTGATGTTGCTGAATGGGCGTGTCATTCCCCTGTTAAGAGTAATCACATCCTTTAAAACATAGTGTCTCTAATGAAGAAATATTGTTATGGAAGCAAGTTATGGAAATGGCACAAATAGCATATCATGTAACATTTTTGTTCTTGAAGAACTCGGACTGCTTGTGTCTTATAGTGAAACTGGAGAACTTTTACACTAACCTGGTGTACTGACTGTGGAAAATGACCCCCTTTAAACTGTTAATGCTAGAGTGGTAACTTTCATTTCAAACAAACTTCCCTTTTGTGAACATTTCTTTTGCAACAAGGTGGCTTTTTAATGATACAGCAGAAAAAATGGCCAATGAGATGGTAGTATATAGGAAAAATCTAAATTTGGTGATACTGTAAGTAAAACTGTTGGTTGTATGAAGTAGTAAGTACGGGAAGAACTAGTTGTATGCATCTGTGAGTCTAATTGGAACTGTAATAACCAGAGGCAAAAAAGTCTGTTCATGCTGTACAGTTATGGTTTTGGTAAATAAATACTGATGTGCATTATAGTAGGATGGAAAATAATACTTTGTGTACTGTTTTGCTTACACTGGTGCAGTTTTATTTAGATACTGTGCCAGTCATGTTGCCTCTTTCTGGCTTGATTTTCCTGCTGTCTTGTGCAAAGCTACTAGAGCACAGAAAAAACTGCCGATTGAGAAGAAATTAAATATTTAAATAAAAGATATTTTAAATATCCCATGTTTACAAAAGATGCAGTTAAGTCCTTGGTATTCATTACTGTTCTTCAACTGCAGTGCTCCATGCAGCTATTTGTATTATCCCAAGATCTGTAAAAGGGGAGAATGAAACAAATCATTTTAGTTTTTCCAGAACTTGCATTTTCTGGAAGAATGGGATGGCAGTTTTATGTTTTATTACATCAAAGATTAGTGCATCTGTCATATTGTGCCGTTATTTAGTGGTAAAGTCATGTCTGCTGTCATTAATCAACTCCTCGATTAGTCTTTTGGATAGAGAGATTTTACTAGTGGGTGTAGTGGTACCACAGATGCAGGCTAGTTTATTGTTTAAACTTACAACTTTGGTTTCATCAGGTTAAAATACTTTCTATTGCAGTTAGAGTTGCACAGCTTCTGACTACTCTTCTGTAAAATTCAGTCACATAAAACTGTAAGCCAGTTTGTCTAATTTGAATAGGTGTAATTCCATTAAAGGGAATGTTGTCAGGAATATTATCTTCTACCGGTTTTGTTGTGCCTAAATCAAAACTTGTATGATTTTTAGGTGCAGACTTTTTGTCTTGATTTGAAACTAGGAGAGACTTTCTCATGAAACTAGACTTCTGTCTTGCAAGTTTAGTCTATTGTGTGACCAGAAAATAGATTCCTTAAATCTGGATCATCATATTCTCTGATTGCTTATGCTTATATATATATCTTGTTTATTTAAATTTTCTCAGATAGAGTTCTACTTGTGTTTTTACATTAGAGTTACTGTAAACAAATATGGGAGGTAATGCAAAATAATTTGTGTAATTAAAAAAAAGAAGTACAGTTGCCTAAACAGAATTGTAAAAACTGAATGTGAGAATATGATTAAGCTGTCCTGGGGACATCCATTCTAAATTTCATATGGTTTAATAGTGATGATACTTCAGAATTGACCACTTTTGTTTACAGTGGGTTTTTATTCAATATATGACTATTTTGGAATCACAACTAACAATTTTTTTCTCTTATTTGCAGACTGGACTTTGACGTTCTTTTCATGAAAGAGATTTCCAAGTAGTTGTTTTATAATAACTTTGAGAAGAAGTTCTATGTAGCTCTTACTTTCAAGAGTGCTGCAAAAATGATTACTTCAGATTTGCCAGTACTACAGTGAGTATATGTTTCTCTCTCTATTTGAAATCTTCAGTGTTAAAAAGGTAGAAGTAAACAGAGAGGTGATCGTGAGGATAAAGCACAAGCTTGAGAGAAGTGCAGATTAGTGACTGTTCCAGGCCTCCTGTGTTGTCTTATGCTGAAAAACTGTGTGTAAAATGAAACAATTAAACCTAAAAGATATTTCTTTGTATGCATGGAGATTTAACTTTGCAGTGAAAAGCAAAACAAGATCTTTGCTACTTTTATGCTTAAGTATTGTGAGATTTCAGAAATGTGAATGGGTTTTAGTCATAATTTACCATATTTGTGTATTCCAGTTGCGTACTCTTTCTTATGACGAGCTGTATTTATTGTGCAAAAAGCCTTTGGCCTCTGCAATTGAAGAGAGCAAGTGGTGTTAGCATGTTTTGATCTTACTGGGAAATACGAGTGGCATATACAAAAGGGAACGTCGCTGTACCTGGATAAAGTGAGCTATTGGGAAGAATAGAGTGGAAGTCTATGAGAGGAGCTAGAGAGTAAATCAAGTGGAATTAAGAAAGGAGTTTTAGAAACAGGAACAAAATGGAGCTTTATTTGATGTGTTGGGTTGACCTTGGCTGGCTGCCAGACACCCACCTAGCCACTCTCTCGCTCCTCTCTCAACAGGACAGGGGGAGAAAATAACACTAAAAAGCTCGTGGGGCAAGATAAAGACAGGGAAATCACTTACCAATTACCCTCAGGGGCAAAACAGACTTGACTTGGAGAAAATTAATTTAATTTATTGCCAGTTGAATAAGATGATGGTGAGAAACGAAGACAAAAACTAAAATGTGTTCCCTCTCCCCCCTGCCCCGTTCCCCAGTTCAACTTCACCCCTTCATTCCTGACTCCTCTACTCACACCTGCAGCATGGGGTCCTCTGAGGGCTGCACTGTGGATACCTGCTCCAGTGTGGGCTCCCCAGGCGCCATGGGGGAGTCTGTGCCGGAATGCTGGCAGCACCTTCTCCTTCCTCCTGCTGCTCACAGGGCTGGGCCCTCACCCCTCATGGCATTCGGCCCTTTCTTCAGTAGCTCTTACAGGGGCACTGCTGATTTCTCTGACTGGCCCAGCTGTGCCCTGCCCTGGGGCTGTTGGAGCTGGCTGGAACCACCTGTGTCTGGCATGAGGCAGCCCCTTCTCTCCTGACAGAGCTCACCCTGTGGCTGCCCTGCTGCCACTACCTTGCCTTGTAGACCAAATACATTCGTTAATTATCTAATGTTAAGTTTTTTGCTGGAAATGGACATAGGAAGATAGGAATTATTGCAGGGTGTAAAAGAGCCTCAGTTTATCAAAGTTGAGTGATGTTCCAAACCTAAGATTTCAAGTGCCTTTATGTAAGAAACTGAATGTTTGGACAAATGTAAGGTTATTTGCCTGACCTTAATAACAACATGCTCTGCATTGCAATCTTTTTCTTATATTTTTAAAACCTCTTTCAAAAAAAGTTAACTTCTGCTGTGGGTGAGTAGGTGGCTGAAGATGGGGATGACCTTGATGGATACCACTGAGCAGGGAGCGTCTGGTTAGCTTTGAAGGTAGTTGTGGAAAAAAATTTTTCTCGGTTCATATTTTCCTGGATGTGCCACATTCAAGAAGTGAGCGTGTGCTTGCAAAACGTGCCAAGGACAAAAAGCTGGAAGATTCTGTCATGGCAACGGTGGGAAAGGGATATTCCCGTTCCCAGTTCAAGAAGTTAGATGACCTTAAGAAGTGAATGAAATATCATAGTCTTTAAAGTTAAAAAGTGCATATTAATAGGTTTGGTAACTCTGCACACAAGCTGAAAAACCTGAGGGACATTAAAGATGTTGGCATATTGTTTAATAAGAAGAAGATTGTGAGCCACCAATATTATGCAACTTTAAAAAATGAAAGGAAATGTGTATGTTGTTTTTTCCAGTAGGGCTGAGAATCATTTAATGCCACTGCGCGAAGTGTTGGTGAGATGTCATCATCAGTAATATATATATAGTTTTGGTTGCTTGTAAACAAGATGAGATCTTTCTTTTTACAAAAAAAAAAAAAAATCAGCAGGATTTGCACATAAAGGTTTTGAGACTCTCCTGAGGGCTCAGAACAAAGTCTAGTTTGGATGAGGTATCAAAGAAAGTGATAACTGCTAATTCAGTAGGTCCCAACCAGACTTTCATCAGAAAGGAGTCTGGCTAAGAGTGAGAGAACCCGAAGCGATCTTTGGTTAGGGGTATTAGCTTCACACATTTATATTTGAGAAACCAGAATCTGGTTCCACACAGAGAAAGCCAAGATTTTCTTTCTAGCTCTTAAATAAGCAGCTTTGAAGGATTATTATAATCTACCACTTCTATGCCTTATTTCTACTTTTTCATAACACTTCCTAATCTTTTTGGCTACCCCCTTTAAACAAAGGGTCCTAAAGTCAATTTGATATATTAATGTACTTTGCTTAGGACCATATCAAATATTCCCTCCCCAATTCTTCTCTGTTGAGGGAGCGTGAAAGGAGAAATCTTTAATCTTTCTGGATTTATAGACGTGGCTTCAGAATGCAGTGAAGACAGGATTTCACTTATTGGTGTTTCAGATGTAGGGAAAAAAACCTGTCGTGTATTTGATCTGGGTGACTGACTGTTATGAGTCTTCTCTCAATGGGATGACTCATATTTGCTGTGAGGCATGTTCCTCTTTAGATTTTGAAGATCAACCATGAGAGCTGATTCATCCATGATTCATGAGCCTGTGCATTTAGCCATTTTTCTTCATGAATGCTTTTCTTCACAAGGCTGAGTCTGGTGGTAGCAATTACGGAATTTATGTCTGCCAGAACCTTGAGCCACCTCAGCAACACTGATAAAAGCTTACAGAAGCGTTTTTATTTACAAAGGCTGATACATGAACATACTTTTTTGGTGTGATGTGTTTTTAAGGGGGGGTGGTATAAGCTCTATAGCTAGGGCTTTATGTAATAATAGAAGGAAGGTAAACTTGTTTTGATTTATTTTGCAGAGATGTGAAATTTACTGTGTCTATGGAAATATGTACTTCAGACGCATGACATGGCAAGGGGCTGCCCAGTGATCTGTTAATTCTTCATTACCATATGGTTAGTTTAAATAGCTAGTTATTATAACTTCAGAATAATATCTGGAGTTTTTAGGAGGGATCCTGGAGTTACTGCAGGTTTTCCAGGATGCTTTAGCCACCACAGAGAACAGAAAGAAAAACAGAGTAAATTTGAGCCCCTAAAAGGGGTTATCACATCTCTGCTTTACTCTGCCCACCCCAATCTTGTAGGTCTCCCACAATCTGCCAAATTCTCTTACGTCTCTGTCATGTCAAAGGTGTTTTAGAGAGGAAAGGTTTAGCCTTTTCTGGCACTGCTGCCTCTCCTCTTCTTAGATAACGCAGGTCTCTTTAGGCCCAGATTACTTTCTCTCCCAACAGCTTCAGGAACGATAAATTGTGACTAAGCCTAAGTTTTCCCCTCAGGTGACTAGTCACACACATGTAAGACAGGAATAGGATAATTCTGGTCTATTAAGATGTGGATGACTGCCACCAGATAAATTACTTCCTAGCAGTTCTGCAAGATGTGTAGGGAATGAGGGAGATGGATGCTGGCCAGATGCTTTGGTGTTAAAAACCTGACAGAACTGCAGGCAGTTGAGATGCTTTACTCCTCCTCTTGAGTTCAGAAATAAGAAGAAAAGGGGCATGTGTGAGTGTACCCAGAGCAACTAAGGCCTTGACAAAAGCAAGAAGCACTACTTCCCAAACTGAAGGGACTCAAGGCCACGGTGGAAGGACCTTTTTGTGCAGGAGTTGCATGATTCAGACAGAATTCCCTGATGCTTGAAATTATGTTCATTTTAATGTAAAATCAGCCAAGGACTGTAGGTTGTCCTTGATCCTGTCTCCCTACTCCAAATAATGTGGGTATTGAAGGGAACTTACTTTCTGATGTTTTCCCCTTATTCCTTACATACTTATATTCTTTGCCAGAAGAAATCTCCTCTCTGTTCAATTTTAAACATTTATATTTGAGCTGCTTGTCTAGGTCACCTTACCATCAATAGAGAGAAAAGAAAATTTATAAAACAGACCAATTTTGGACACTGACCTTAGCATGAGGTATGTTGCACCTTAAGATTTTCTGTTTTCTGCATTGTATATGTCTAAAATTTAGATTAGATGAATCTCACTGTTAGTACTGATTTATTGAGCCTTTCCCAAAAGGCTTCCAGCAAACCAGAGAAGTTTTACCAGAAAAATATTAGAGAAGCATGGTTATCAGGTTTAAGACAACAGTCTGTTTAAGACAAAGAAGAGAACGTAGTTAATAATTAAAATGTTCCCTCCATATGCAGTGTTCCGAAGCAATTGAAATTTCCAGAACTAAATACACAAATCTCAGTAGGCTTTGCTAGACTGAGACAGAGGGTGTAGCAAAGTCAAGCTCTCTGTGGACTAAATGCATGCAAAATAGTAGTAGAGTTTAATTTATTTTTGTAGCTCCAGTGTTTCAAGGGAAATGTTTGAGCCATTTGCCTAGGAGGACTGCTGAATCTGGTTTTAATAGAGAAAAATCTTTATCCTGATGATATTAGAGGTGTGGTTTTGTAAGCTAGCAAAGCTACAGCGTTTCCCCAGAATTGGGGGTATTGCTTAGACCACACCATGCCTAAAATTTTTCCAGTAAGGATCTGTGTAGACCAGAGAGAAGCTTATTTTTTCTATAAAGAACAAAAGAGAATGGCTTTAATTTCTCTGCAGCAATAGAAAGCAGCAGATAACTGGCTGCTCATGGCTTGGACAGGTGTACCCTTTGCTGAGTAAAAAACTTGCTGGATGGCTGGGCCCAGAGAGTTGTGGTGAATGGAGTTAAATCCAGTTGGCAGCCGGTCACAAGTGGTGTTCCCCAGGGCTCAGTACTGGGGCCAGTTCTGTTTAATATCTTTATCAGTGATCTGGACAAGGGGATTGAGTGCACCCTCAGTAAGTTTGCAGATGACACCAAGT